CCAACTTTTTGGAGTAATCACCTGTATCCCTTGTATTACCTATGTGCCAAAATATAAATATATATTTTACACTCTTATTCATTTGGATAAATCAAAACTTCAGAAGTTCAGAAATGAAATACTAATCTTTATAATTATTCTGAGCTAATAGTGTTATATTATATGTAATGAAGTAATGGTCTTATTTCTATGCAGAATACTGAATTATAATCCAAATATATTGACATATTTCTTGTGATTTGTTTCCTCCAAAATGTTAAAATTTAAACAGAATATTATTGTTCTGATTTAAAGGGATACTCCAAGAACAAACCACAACAGCGTATTGTAGTGATTATGGTGCATGGAAGCCATTCTTACAGCACCTCCAGTTCTTGACAAACTGTTTTCAAGCAGTTTGGCAAAACCTGGAAGAATATATTGACACTTTAAATCAAACCTCTCTTCTGCTGATGTCATAATGAAGAAAATCTTTATGTCCCTTTCTGCACTGATGAATCACAGTCAACCAAACCTGTTAAATGGGAACTGTCTGTTCCCCTGATTTTTTTTTAATATTATGTTTATTTATTCCCTATGTTTTACAAATATGTGTTTGTGAGGTCTGAGAAATAAAAGTAAATTTAAAATTAAATGAAGAGAATCTTGGCTGGCTGACAATTCTTATAAGATCTGCTCTTTTCTGTTATTGAACATAATATCTGTCCAGGCTGTGCCAGGGCTGTGAGGTAAACTGCTACAATCTATATTATATATTTTAAAAAATTGGAGCCTCATTTGGAAATTGTTAACACATGCTATATGTGATTTACAGTTTTATTAAAGGTGTGATTTCCAGAGATAAGATGGCTCCCGTGTAATGACAATTCAGCAGTCCATAAAGGGCTGCAGAAAGTGGCAGAAACTTGCCACACATCTAAACTTGTCCCTGTTATTGCGTAGCAATGCATGCTCATGACATCTATCGATAATATAGAAGCAAATAAAGTAATCCCTTTATTATCCCTGGTTTTTGTCAGACTGATTGGAGATGGACTGCACCCACAGCGTCCATGCACTATGATGTAGTGGTTATGGTACTTTGAGTATCCCTCTATGTTTGTCTTACTTTTTTCTTCTTTAAAATATTTCTACTAATGTTTTTTTTTTTTTCAGATTGAAAGCATACACCTTTTTTTTTTAATAAAAATGGTTTTGTTTGAGGTTTAAATACCCAGTGTATTTTAACCAACACTGATGTAATCTAATATTTTTATACTGAAATAAGAAATGTTTCTCCTGTGATGTGTGTAATTCCTTTCACTGATATTAAGATTTGGTGACCACTGTATTTTTACAACTGAATGCACTGCACCTCCAAAAATCCTGCTAGAAATTACATGGGCATTCACAAAGTAATGAATTAAATTCAAACACTATTCACTGGCTAGAACCTGGCTGAACATGCAAGTGACACTCAGACACTGTGAGTTGAGATTTCACTGCAATTAATATTCTCTAAGACAAGTAACTCAGGCCTTTTATGAGTTGCAATGAGTTGAATTCCAATTCATTTTAAAGAAAACTGCTCAGGAAAACAAATCTCACGGCACTGGAAAATTTTCAAGTTGTCCATGAGTTTTAACTTTCTGGGAAGAGAAATCGAATGTTCTTTGTTTATGAAATATTATGTTTAATTTATCATGGTGTGTCTCTTGCTCAGTTGAGAGACTTCTAAAACTGCAGAAGCCTCCTGTGTCTGATCAAAGTTCAATTTACAGAGGAGGAGACAAAAATTTCTAAAGCAAGTTAACATCTGATTGACAATGCATTTTTTTTTATAAACAGAAACAAAATATATTGCATTGATTTCAGGATAACGCTACAGGGTCTGAAGTGGTGAAGGACCCTAACAATATTTCCCTGCAAGAATTATTGCAAAGTTATTCTATGAATTTATTTGAGAATATATTAAGACAGAATAGTCTTTTTTTCTCAATGGCTAGTGAATAGAATCCCTTACTGGAGTGATGTGTATATATCAAGCATGCCATCTCCTAGGTATGTGTGTGCAGGTCACAAACATGCACTGCTATGGTAAAGATTTACAGAGTTAATCGGATTTGGAATTGTGAGGATAACCTTTAATGGAGTAAACTGGAGAGCATTTATTAATAAATCCATTTGTATTATGACTTATATTTTAGTACAATAGAATATATGATCAATGGAAATCAATATTATAGAGAATAGGGAGGCGCTTTGGTCAGTAAAGATAGTAAGTTAGATAGTAAATTCCATTTGGAACATATGCTTACATTTTTCTTAATTCATAAAACCATGAATGATTTTTTTGAGAAGATGCTGTAGAAATGTATCAATAAATATTTAACCATGAACAGGTTATGCAATAGGTATATGAAAAGTCAAATTGAAATGCTTGTCACAAGTGTCTGTAACAGGATATATTTTTATTAACATCTTAGATCCCAGATCAGCCAATCAATAACTCTGCATTTTAACCCATTCACTACCAAAATTATGTATACATGATTTTTCTTGGTTTGTTTTTTTACTTTTATTTGCTTTGCAAAACAAACTTTAGCCCATAGAAACTATCTTACCTTCATGTATACTCAAAGAATGATTGTCAGCTTGTAGGGAAACACATTTCTGTCTAAATAACCTATTCTACCCATTTAATGTCTGCAAATTATCTGAATTTGAACCTCTCCCTCTTTCCAAACAGTAAAATAAACGTAAAAAAATTATACCATTTCTACAGTCTGGAAGAGGGTAGGAGTGAATACTATCTCCCATTTCCCTTTAGGGCCTCTTAGCACTACTTTAGCATTACAAAGATTGCTATAACACTTTTAAAACACATATTTTAGAAATACATGGCTGCTGACTCCTTAATTCACCAAATCCTGTTACCCTTCCATTCCCAATAAGTAACACAACACCATGTTAAGTGGGTAAGGGCAACGGTCACAGATTTTTTAAACCAGCACAATCAAATACTGCTGGCTGCTGGTTTTATCCAGTAAACATGTAAACTTAAAGGGACACTGTAGTCACTATAACCACTTTGTCTCTTTGAATTGGTTATAGTGCCTGGAGTGCCCTGGCACTGTCCCTCCATTCAGTGTTGCACCATGTTTGTGCAGTATGCCACAAAATAAGAGTCCCTGGCCACCCACAGTCTGGCCCCTTCTGTATGTGTAGCTAAGGCAGAGATTACACACTTCCTTGTTGTCATACCCATTCATACCATCAGTTGGAGCTCTGACAGGTTAAAAGCAGTCAGCTGACACTCTCAGCCAATCACAGCTACCCATTGCTGCTCAGGCTAATACTTCCTTATTAGCCAAAGCAGCACAGAGGGGATGGACTGCCGTGGTCTCTTGTTTAGGATTAAAACATTACAACATTAAAAACTGTTTAATGCTGAAAGAAATGATGGCACCATGGGACTCTATACACTATAACCAGTTTAATGAGATGAAGCAGATACAGTGCCTACGGTGTCCCTTTAAAACTTTTACCAGAGTCTCTTCAGCCTGTCCTTCTATTCTAATATTTCAGATCCTTTTTGAATATTACCAGATAAAATATACTGGATACAGTCTAAAGCTTTTTTTATTCCCTCAATATTTCAATAAAGGATTAACAAATTAATTTAAAAAAAAATTAAAAATAACTACATTTGCATAATGTGACAGCAATCTCTGCACACAATTAGTTTGATCGTATATTTATGTGCTAGCTCTGCACCCTACATTTACATAATATTATGCTAAACATTTTCAAGCAAAAAATGCCTGGTAATGAATGGGTTGAAAGAATAATGTTAAATGTGTTTCAAGTCAAAAGATATCATTTTCTGGGTATGGGAACATCTTTTTAAATGGTAATCATTTTGTCTTCCTCTTTTTTCACTGTAGACAATGGATATTTACACATTTACTGTATGACCTTCTTTTAGTATAAGAAATCTATATTTTTCATGGTTCATTTTTACATTGGAAAGTGTCATTGATGTTTTTTTAAATAAAATATCACATTGGGAGAAGTTTATAAATGTATGTAGAATTTGTGGGACTTGTGTTTTCTTCCTCTTTTTACTGCAAGAAGTCCACTGTTTAGTGAAGGGGAGTGGCAAACTGACAAAATATAAATAAATATAAATAAACAAAGGACCCATCCTAAATGAAACCTATATTCTGATTTAGTTATTGGTGTTTTAATCAATTTCAGTATTGATGCTGTTTAAACCAACCAAAAATGTTACTTCTTAGGAGATCTCAGTTTAAACTAAATTCATTTACAAGACAACAAAGGAACATTATTCTTAATGAAGTGGTTTAGATGCATAGATCCTGTCTCTTTTTCTGGATAATGTGAAACATTGCTAGGAAATTGCCATATTTACGATATTTCAGTCTGACTCTTTCTCCTTAAGACCTTCAAAAATTGAAAGCCTCCACATTCACATTAAAAGTCTTCAGACACAGCACCATGATGCTGAATACGTCCAATGCCAAGAAGCTTCAGATTCAGTGCTTCTCTATGAGAAGCATATGATTGTTGAAGCATGGCAATCGTTGTACATGTGTTTTATGCCACAAATGCTTTTCCCTTAGAAGCACTGAACTGGACAAAAGTCATTATAATTAATTACTTTATCAGAGCCTTCTCCAGCGATACATTTATGACTTTTACTTTTATTTAAAAGGTGGAGGCAATTATCTAAACACTGATATGAACAATCTAACTTTAAAAATATGTTGATTTGCAATGTTAGAATATTGTTTTAGTGTTATTTAATTGCAAAAATGGTGATAGGAGCCGCACTCAATCCCAGCAGTCACCTGGAGCTCTGGAGTAAAACCAGCAATCCCACAAGCATAAAGCAGCACAAGAAATGCTCCAGGCACACAAGGTAATAAAGCCGCAGGCAGTTATAATAGAACAAAAGGAGCAGCAACGATGCGGCTTTAACACCTTGAGTGCCTGGAGAATTTCTTGTGCTGCTTTTAGTGTAATGGCATTGTATGGACTGTCCAGCCAAGATTTGCACTGTGACTGTTCTCCTTCATCTAGATCTATTTATTTTTCTCATTCATATGAAGAGAACTTGGAGATATCTGGGCTAACAGAGAAACATTGCTGCTAAGTATGTTACATAAAGTCTGTTCATGCATATTAGAATATTAAACACTTCACAATGTCTTGCGTGTAAAATGTTTAAATTATACATAACTAATTTCCTGTTCTAATGTTGGCCACATGAAGACTATTTTGGTAAAACAATAGTCTTTAAAGGGGCCTTTTAACATAATATTTTGCATGTTAATGTAGTGGTTTGGGGGTATAGATGCTACTCCATTGTGCCTGGAAACTAATTCCCCTTGAGCTGTCTAGTAACACTAGTTTTCTTCATTGTAATTCATACTAGTAAATCATATGAAGCTTTTAGAAGAAATTACCTATGTCTAACCTCTATTCATACTCCTACCTCTGATGCTTGCCTTAAAGACTTCTCTAGGGCTGCACCATTCCTATGGAATGCCCTTCCCCTTTCTGTTAGGCTTTCACCCAATCTCACTCCTTCAAAAAAATCAGTGAAAATGTACTTCTTTAGGAAAGCATGTTAATTAAACTGTGAACAGCTTTCCCTCCCTGCACCCTGATTGCTCTCCTGAAACTGTCATCAAAACAAAGCACAAAGCCCTCAATCAATACTATTCTAGCAACATACTTTTCTACCTTACCCTTACCTTTTGTGTCACATTACCCCACCCTTCTAGCATGTAAACTTAGCAGGGCCCTCAATCCCTTTGTTCCTGTGCGTCTAACTTGTCTGGTTACAAATACATGTCTGTTAGTCCAACCGTTGTACAGCGATATGGAATTTGTTGGTGCTTTATAAATAATAATAACAAATAAGTGTAAATCATTTTTTTAACCGATATGATAATCTGGGGTTGCTGTGTGTCTCATTCAGAGATAGTCAGACAATATTTTGGATCACCTATGTGAGTGGGATTAGTATGATATGTGACAATCTAAAGATCTCTCTCCAATGGCATATGTGAGCAAAAACTTGTTTGAGCCCTAAATAGGACTAACTGAGGTGCAAGTTATTAAGTTTTTGCAGGTTCTTGGTGTAGTCTTATCTTCTGTTTATTTTTGTTTTAATGCCTTTGCTCAAGGTTTTCCTAAATTAAAATGGTAATCTAGACGGGGAACCTGTGCTTACTGTGTCTAGGGTAGTACACGGTGGGCCAGAATTCAGAGTAGAGTTTAAGGAGTCAATAACTTTTTTTTTATTAATGAAGAAATTTTAATGATATTACATACAATAAATGCTCAACATATGGAGATTTGTTTGACTAGGTATGGAAAATGAGCTCCATTTGTCGCCTTGCAAAGTTTTGCTCTTTTGATTGCATTGTTTGTAACATTAGTGAATGTTTGAGACTCTAGTGCTTACATTTCTGCATGAATATTCTCCTTGAGCTGCCTCAAGTGTACGCAGCTTGTTCACGTACACTTGCTCCTTCAGATATCCCCACAGGTAGCAATTGTAAGCTGAAAGGTTGGGTGAACGTGGCAGCCAACAAATCTGGGAATTTCTTGAAATTATGCTCTTACCTAACAGTTGTCTCAGGAGGTCCATTGTGAGCCCCATCCATTTAAAATCAAATTTCAAGACAATTTTACTCTTACTGTCAAAATAATGGACCTGACATTTTGAAGATAAAATTCCACAATTTTTACTTCTTCTTGAAATTACCCATAATTAATCTCCCAATACTTTTTTATAATATGTTCCTACAACAAAAAAAATGTAACTTCTAACAAATAAGTTATTTACCTGTCAAATACTACTCTGAATTTTGGTCCACTCTATATATTCTACACTTTACCGTCCAACCATCCTAATTTTGGCTATCATCACAATGTCAGGTTGTTTGGCCAGTACTTGCTTTTATGTTTGTATCTGGCAGTCTTAGCCTTGTAACTCTCCCTTTGTGGTAACTCCCATCTGGATTAGGCAGGTCGAGACCATATTCTGTGTAGATGTTTCAGTACACAATACCAGCAAACTTTTAAAACAATTAAACAAAGTTTAGTCAGTCGCAATTATGGTAAAGCATCAGTCATTCAGGTTTAAGATCTGTGATCTGAACTACTAGAGAAACATATATGAATTATCTTTGCTCATACAGTTGGCAACACATTCTGATTAGTGAGCACCTCAATTGCAGTCAGTTTTTAACAATTACACTAATTAAAGGCTTACAGCACTTGTTTTTCCTTGATTTGCTGGTGAATTATACACAGTTCCTACTTTAGAGAATACCTGTTGGTATTATGTTGCTAATTAGGTTTTGGTCTATGGAATTTTATCTATGAGTAGGACTGGATGGTGGGAGGCTACTAAATTGTCTTGTTTGGTCCACAAGTTGTAAGGACCAAATAAGATTAAGGTTATAAGGGTGAGGATCAAAAACGTCCCTGCATAAATGCTTAATTCTGCCAAGGTTATCTAAATTTGCATTCCAAGTGTGCTTGTGTCTATGTGACAACTTAAACTTATCATAAAACCTGATGCACATAGTTGTCCCCAATAAAGCAAACCCAACCAGAAAAGAACAAACTGAAAAAGAGGGATTTCTCAATTACAATTATTGTAATGTTATATGTAAGGAAATCAAGTATAGCTGAACCGCTTTGATAATTCCTCCTGCAATGTCAGCGTCTAAGGTAGTTCTAAGCAATGAAGTCCATAAGAAATATAACAGCTTCCCAAGATAATCCCCTTGGTAAAGCATACGAATTCCCAAATAACAGTCAGAGTCCAGAATCAGGATACAAGTAGATCTGAGGTCTGGAATCTCCAGCCTGCTTTTTATTAAGGTTACAGACAAGAAGTACACACCCAGGGGGAGGCATTAAATCACCAATCAGGTATAGGTTACAGCCCATACCTCCCTCCCCTCTGATAAACAGTTAACTTAATTAAAACGTGCACTATTTTACCACAGTTCTGGATGTACCCCAAAAACAGGGGGTACACCTTTAAATTGGGTACCGCTGGATAGTTCTCATTTGTGGGGACAACATATCAAAAAATCAGTCCATTCGGATGAATGGTTCGGGAGTTATGGAACACTAAAGTTTTGACCGACCGCACGGACCATCTAGCCGAAAATAGTTCCATAAGTTTTGGCCCTGCGGTCGGTCTCCGTTTAGGCGAATAAAAGAGACGAAAACCCTGCCATCCATTCGCATCTTTGTGATCGTTGAAATCCCCATACGAAGTTGCATGTAACTACCGAACGGCCGGTGATTCGGTCGTTCCCGTGCGAAGTTCTGGATGTATGGAGGTCTCAGCGGTGTTCGCCTGTTTGCGTATCCGATTTTAGTTCCACGCGTTGACGGGCAAACACCGCTGTTCGCACGTAAAATGGCCGCGGCCACGTGTAAAGTGCCGAAATGGCGGCCATCTATATTTTACACAGGGAATTCGCCTGAATCCATCCGAAGGGTAGAAATGAAAGCTATATGCCGAATTCCAGCTGGGTTTTGGTGAATTAACTGTACAACAAAAGGTAGAAATCCTGATTAACGGAGTCATTTCTTCACATTATAGAATTAACATACATGCCCATTTGAGTGGGTATAATTTAATCACCAGAAAAAATCATAGCATAATGCAGCAGTTCCAACAGGGGAGCCACAAATTATTTTCCCAGTGCTATGATGATAGCACTGGGAACTGTGCTCTCCCCTGTCGGCTATGCAGAACCGGAGGGGAAATCAGAGATCTCCCTCTCCGTCCCGTTAGCACTTTGCTGATAGCCGGCAGGGAGGGAGGGAGAGAAGACCTGGGGAAGCTAACTGTAGCTCCGCTGGGTTCTCCTTTCACAAGCTTGGAGTGTTGTCATGGTTACCACGGCAACACTCTGAATCTCACCAGAGTGAATTCTAGCAGCTCCTGAGGCTGCTAGAGTTCACTGTCACCACCAGGGCTTCCCCACCAGGACCACCAGGGATTGCAGGAAATGCCCACCCTCCCAGGCAAAGGTAAGCAGGGAGGGGGGATATCATTTTTTATATTTAATAACAATAAAAAAGTATATATTTATTAATTTGCCCTCATACCCCCATATACACACACACTGCCCACCCCATACACACACTGCTTCCCATACACCACCATTACCCCATACACACACACTGCCCCATACACACACTGCCCCCATACACACACTGCCCCACCATACACACACTGCCCCCCCACACACACTACACACCCCCCAGCACACACACTGCCCCCATACACACACTGCCCTTCCATAAAGACCCTGCCCCCCATACACACACTACCCCCATCAGGGCAGTCTTTAATATTGACCGGACCCTGGGCAACCATTTGCTTGGGGCTCCTGGAACCTGCCCCCTGCCAGACATACTAACACACATACACAGATAGATACACTAACAGACATACTGACACACACACAGACACATACACTGACAGACAAACTGACACACACACAGAGACATACACTAGAGACATACTGACACACACACACACAAACACTGACAGACATACTGACACACATGCAGACATATATACTGACACACATACACAGACAAACACTGTCAGACATACTGACACACATACACAAAGACATAAAATGACAGACATACTGACACACACATACAGACACAATGACAGACATACTGACATAAACATACACCGACAGACATACTGACACAAACACAGACACATACACTGACATACATACTGACATAAACATACAATGACAGACATACTGAAACATACACAGACAGACATACTGACATAAACATACAATGACAGACATACTGACACAAACAGAGACAAATACACTGACAGACATACCGACACAAACACAGACACATACACAGACAGATATACTGACATAAATTTACACTTTTAAACCCACCCACAAGTTTCCTACCTTGGAAGGTGGTTCCCCAGTGTCCAGACTGAATGCTGAGGCTGTTGGGATCTGCCTCTTCAGGTCAGGCTCCCTCCTTCATCTCCCACGCGGCTCCTCTCCTTAGTGGGAGGAAGAGACTCGCAGCCATCACTTCCTCCCAGCTCTGCCGAAAAGCAAAGGGCCTGGTCGCGCTGTTAAAGGGCTACAGCATGTGACCGGGCCCCTGCTTACAAACTGGTTGCACAACCAACCAGTGGCCTCCTTAATGTGCGGGCCGGCGGCCCCTTGTGGGAAAAAATTGTTGAGGGCTGCGGGGGCCCACGGGGAAGCTGCCTTGGGCCCCCCAAGAGTAACTGGGCCTGGGGCAGCTGCCCCGTTTGCCCCGCATTAAAGATGGCCCTGACCCCCATACACACACACTGCACCCCAAATACACACTAACCCCATACACACACACACTGTACCCCTCACACACACTACACCCCACCACATACACTGCACAGACACTGTACTCCTCACACAACCTGCCCCCCTCACACACACTGTACACCTCACACACACACTCTGTAGCCCTTACATACACACTGTACCCCTTAGGCACACACACAAACTACATCCTTCACAAACACAATGCACCCCTGTACACACACACACGCACTCTGCAACCCTGTACATACACGCACACTACACCCCTTACACACACACCTATTGCACCCCTCACACACACATATTGCACCACACACACACTATAGCCCCTATTCCAGCAGACCCAGGGTACGTTGTCAAACTGTTCTTAAACAGTTTACTACTTACCCTTGGAGGGCACTATGGTACTACTGGCACCATAACCACTGCAACGTAATTTAGTGGTTATTGTGCCTGGATTGTTTCTTTAAATAATCTACCAGTGCCACTCCCAAGATTGGGGGCCCAGTATATGCTGCAGCGCTATACATATATGCAACCTAGAACATTTTTTTGACTTGGAGTGCCTTGGAAAAATATTGAAATAGTAAGGGCGTCTTGAACCTAAAAAGTTTGGGAACCACTGGCATAATGTTATCTCCCTTAAACTGCATTTATGTTCCAGTGTTGATTTGTTTGCATTCAGTCCTTTCTATGACTAAGACGTACCCTAGCAGTCTATTGAATACACAAGTATAAACAAGGCTGGCTGTGCATGTAGCTTTTATGATACACTACTACTATGAATACTTCCTTACTCCCTGTAATATACATTACTACTTGATTCACAGATGGTTTTATTTTGCACATTTTATACATGCTTTGAAATTTGTTTGTAGATTATGCCAATACGCGATGTAAGCAGCACATTTAATTCTTGGTTGGATTCAAATTGTTTTAGGATTTCTGTGGGAAAAGCAAGTCTTATGGCTTGACTGGTGTGCAGATTTTTGTTTAGCATTGTATTAACTATCCACATACTTCAGGTGGAAGGGGTTTTCAATCACAATTTTTCCCAAGCACTACCAAGCCTCACTAAGCAAACCAGTAACCAACCTCATGCTGAAGAGTTGCATTAACAACGAAACAGCAGTCCATGAGTGGTTCACTGGTTTTGCATCTTATCCTAAATTGTGTTCCAAGCAGTTGTATACTGCAAACACAAATTAAAAGGAATCCATGTTTAAAATGGAATGAGGCAAAAATTTGATTCTTTGTTAAACTAATTTGCATATGCCCACCCAGAATACTTTGCGGTTGTAACATCACTGCTGATTTGGGATTTCTGTGGGAAAAGCAAGTCTTATGGCTTGACTGGTGTGCAGATTTTTGTTTAGCATTGTATTAACTATCCACATACCTCAGGTGGAAGGGGTTTTCAATCACAATTTTTCCCCACCATAACCTTTTTGGATTTTGCTTCCCAAGCACTACCAAGCCTCACTAAACAAACCAGTAACCAACCTCATGCTGAAGAGTTGCATTAACAACGAAACAGCTGTCCATGAGTGGTTCACTGGTTTTGCATCTTATCCTAAATTGTGTTCCAAGCAGTTGTATACTGCAAACACAAATTAAAAGGAATCCATGTTTAAAATGGAATGAGGCAAAAATGTGATTCTTTGTTAAACTAATTTGCATATGCCCACCCAGAATCCTTTGCGGTTGTAACATCACTGCTGATTTGGGATTTCTGTGGGAAAAGCAAGTCTTATGGCTTGACTGGTGTGCAGATTTTTGTTTAGCATTGTATTAACTATATATATATATATATATATATATATATATATAAAATTGTAATGATTTTTGTAATAATACAGAGTCTGTTAATTGGTAGGGGTGGTCAATCCAGTGTAATTATTTTTATTCAAATGTTCTAGAATAAAATATATTTGATCATATTTGCTGATATGAGAATTATAGAAGTTAATATACAATAGATGAAATATATTAAAGACTGTCAATTGACATACAAGGGCTCACAGTTTAAAACATGAACAATTACAATGTTTACACATCTAAACATTAATAGTCTTACATGTCTTTTATGACTCTTTTGATTTTTAAAGCTCTTAAAGGCAAACTTTTTTCCTGGCACTATAGCTTCCCCCTCCCTCGCATCCTTACTCCCTATGGTGCAGTAAGGGTTAAAAATGTATTAAGTCACTTACCTGGGTCCCGCGTCTCTGTCCCTTGGCAATGGTTGTTCTCGCATTAGGATTTCCCCATAAGAAAGCATTATAATGCATTTGTTATGGGGTTTTGGGTGACACTGGATGCCCACATGCATAGCGTCAAAGTTAGATAACTGCCTGTAAGTCATTTTAGTGGATGATTGGTTGACAGCCACTAAAGGTGGATTGAACCCTCCAAGGTAATTATTGTAGTTTTGTTAAAAACTGCAATAATTATCTTTGCAGGGTTAAGGCTGCTGGGGCAATGCATCTAGACTATAGTATCCGTCTAATTGTTTATAGACTGGAAGTGAACCTACAGTAGCTATTTTTGTTCTCACCCTAAAAATGGTATGGAAGTCAGAACTTAGGAAAGAAGCAACTGCCACTAAAGTAATTGCACATCACAGTTGTTAACTGGTTTTGCATGACCATTTTAAGATTACCATAGTACGCCAAAAGGTCAAACTTAATGTTAAACAGGAACTTAGGTTCTCTAGTGCTTTAGCTGCTAACAAGAATTCATTTGCTATATTTAATTTATTATTTCTATAATTCTAAGACTATTAAAAATGATATTATGATGATAAAAAAGTAGAGAGGGATCAGAAGTGGGAGGTGGTGGGAGTGACAACCTAGCCTTCCATGGCAGCACTTAATAACTCTATTCTACACAGAGAGCAGGATCATTATGACAGATAAGCTCTTACATTCACACATTAAAATATTAAAACAACTGACAACCAATCCCAGCCTAGCTTAGACTCTAGCAAATATAATCGGCATAGGATAGAAGTTGTGTGCCATTACCCATATAGTCCAAGAGGTTTTCAGTTTACGTGTATTTTTACAAATTACTTGCAAATTGTAGCAAATATGATCAAATATATTTTATTCTAGAACATTTGAATAAAAATAATTACACTGGATTGACCACCCCTACCAATTAACAGACTCTGTATTATTACAAATTGTAGCAAACTTGCATTAGTTGTAAGCACAAAAGCACATTAGAATCAAATTAACCATAACTATTTTATGATCCCCGCAACCTTAAAGAAACACTCAAGAACCATAACCATTACAGCTATTGTGCCTTCCCAGTGTAATATATCAAACTGTTTTAGAATGTTTTGATCAATAACCTGGGGCCCCCGGGCATCCGCATCTGGTCTTCTGCTGAAGGAGAAGCTGGATGTCTTCATGGATATTAACCAGGCCAAACCAGATTTAATTCTCATGAGATGAGAGCAGTCAGCAGACACTTGCAGCCAATGAACATGACCCTGCTTTGTCCATTGAAACTGGACCCCAGCATCATTGTCATGGACTTGTTGGGATCCCAAGTAAGTTGTCAACTGTTCTAAAACAGTTTAATAAATTACTCTGGGAAGGCACTACTGGCACTATAACCACTGTATTGGCTGTACTGGTTATAGTGCTTGGAATGTTCCTTTAATTTGGAGTGTTCTTCTAATATTCACATAATTCACCTGTAGTTTTTACATATAACACAAAAATGAGCAGTGTTATTTTTCATTGTTAATTGCAATTATTCGCTAAAGATTTTCATATTCTGCAATGAAATGTCTCCGTACATTTGTCATGCAATATTTTGGAATTTGTATAAAGAGAATGTTTAAGTAGCCATACACATGGCTTTTTTACAAATAGAATTTGTATTTTTATTGTATCAAAAATAAAGCTTTACATATTATGCATTTGTTCTTAATGTCCATTAATTACCAATGGAATGCAACACTCTATCCACGATTTGCACATTGTAAACACATATTTTCAAACTGTTATAATAACAAGTGTGGCCAGTAGGTTATCCATAAGACTTTAAAAAAAATAGATTTTAATCTATCTTGGTGTTATTTGCTGTACAAATTATTGAGTATGTTGATAAAACATTTACTAAAAGAGAAAAGAGGGTTGCACTCGATCATAAAAATCACAGGGTGCTAAGTAAGTATGTGTCAGCATACCCCATACAACATTTTTATCTAGATAAAACATTTACTGGCAAATAGTCTTTATACATATTGGGCTAAAATATAATTCAAAATGGCAGAAGAGACAAGCCAACTGTTTTATTTTTTTAATCTGGCATAAACTTTTGTTTCTGTGTTATATGTTGCTAATCACATTCTTTACATCTGTACCTTTTCAATGACCAATCACTTTGGTTTCAGTGTACATGCAAATATATTTGTTCAAATTTGCCTCAAATAAATGGTTTTAAAGACAATTGGACTGTGTGTTTTTTAGTTCAATTTGTATTAATTTTCCAAATTTGCATGGGATATAGAAGAGAAGAACAGGGATAACAAGAAAAAAAAATGATGTAAAGATCTATATATTTGGTATTTAATACCGAATTTCTGGTCTGTTCTTCATAAGAAGGATTAGGATATATCACTGGATACTTCCAATGCTAATGTGTTAACCCACAGGGGTTGTGTTAGATCTGGAACTCAGGTGCGTTAATAGCTCTCCCTTACAAGTACAATCCACAGATATCCTGAGGATGAGAACTGAATTTAATTAAGAAAATAATTTCTTAGGCAAGGTATCAGATAAAGGGTTAGGGAGTTACCAGAGTCAGGCAGTCCACATGTCAGGGCAGGCAGCAATCAGCAAGGTCAGAGGGCAAGCAAAGTCAGGAAACCAGGTAAGGCTGGAAACAATGAGTAACAAATTCTAGGCATTCTGAGGTAAGCAGCAAAACAACCAAACACTGACTGACAGGTGTGCTCAGTTTATTAAAGGGTTTGCTGAATCATATAACCCGTAGGTGGTAGTTACCTGAGGTAAAAATAAATGACTGTGGGAAACCATCACAGCTACAGCATCATTCTTGCTCTGTCCCCATTGCGCCCCCACTGTCCTCTGACACACCAACCAATTCTCTCACATGGTGGATGTCATTGTTAATGGACGTAATGACCACTGTGGGTTCCCTGGCCATGGACCAAGGTGCAGAGACTGCTGACTGGGGAACAAGAACCACAGACACCATGATAAACACTGACCAACCCCCAGGACATCACAGGAGACCTGGAAAGGGTGATTACCAGAGATTTTTGTTGCAGATATAATTGGGATATATCTAGGTCTATAGGTGGTCAACCCTCGGCACTCCTTATGTCATGGACTACATCTCCCATGATGCCCTTACAGCTGTAATGCTGTTAAAGCTTCAGGGGTTATGTAATCCACTACATCTGGAGTGACGAATGTTACCTACCCCAATGTAGGTATTCCTTGACACTATTAAGGTCAGATTGGAGGCAGACGGATAAATCCCTAGATTATACACTGATCATTCACATCATTAAAGCTACATGCCTAATATCATGTAGGTCCCACTTGTGCTGTCAAAACAGCTCTGATGTTAAGGCATGGACTCCATAAGACCTCTGAATGTGTCCTGTAGTATCTGGCACCAAGACATAAGAATCAGATCCTTTAAGGCTGCAAGTTGCGAGGTGAAGCCACCATGGATTGGATTTATTGTAATAGCACATCACACAGATGCTCAATCAGATTGAGATCTGGAGAATTTGGAGGCCAAACCTTGAACTCTTTGTCGTGTTCCTCAAAAGCATTTACAGGTCTTTACAGTATGGCAGGGTTCATTATCCTGCTGAAAGAGACCACTGCCATTAGGGAACACCATTGTCATAAAGGTGTGTACATTGTCTTCAACAATATCATAGTGGTAGGTATGTGTCAAAGTAACATCAACATGAATGCCAGGACCCAAGGATGTCCATGAGTCTGACAAGAGTTCACTAGTTGTCCTTCCTTGCACTACTTTTGGTAGGTGCTAACCAATGCATACAAGGAACACCCCACAAGACATATTTTGGATATGATTTTACACAGTTGTCTAGATATCTTTATTTCCCCCTCGTCAAAGTCGCTCAGAGCTTTTCACTTGCCATTTTTCCTGTTTGTAGTTTTATAAGAGATATTCAGGCTTAATATTAGGGATCTTTTTGCACACTTAAAGAGCAAGTAAAGAGGTGCCTTTTTTGAACAGTGAATAATATTTGTGGTGCAACTTCTTCCTAAGGTATGCAGTCATAGATGAAAGTAGCAAACTGAGTTAAATTGTAAGGTTGATAATTTTTTTCTACTCTCTGTTCACTTTGATGCTGTATGTTTAGTCAAGGCCGGTGCAAGGATTTTGGGTTACTCAGTTGAAGATGCAGTTTGCAACTCTGCTCCCCCCCCTCCCCCTGTTTGAATTTCTTACCTCCTTTAGTGTTTTGTATACCCCTTTAGTGTATCTTGCACTCCCCTGTATGTAAAAAGTGTGTGTGGGGGGAAGGGAGGGGCGGGTCACAATACACGTAAAAAAATAAACTGAAGAAGAAGGGAAGTCTCTTACAACCCACCTTGTGTATGTCTTACTTCCCTCTAGCTCTGTCTTTCTTACATCCCTTTTCTGTGTGTCTTTCCCCTCAGCCCATTTTGTCCTTTGTCCCCCCTCTGTGGCTGTTTGTGTGTCTTGTTAATCCCAAGCCATATAGACATAGACATGTACTAGCACACACAACCATACAGGCACACCTGGGTGTCACAGAGATATGCTCGCACACACATACAGGCACATCGTAATACAGTCTACACATACAGGTACACTGTCATACAAACACATATAGTCATACAAACACACAGAGTCATGCAAACACAGTTATACAGAGATATACAATCAGAAACATACAGAGACATAGATGCAGTCATACAGAGACATAAAGACGCAGTCATACAGTGACATACAGAGCAAGGCATACAGAGACATACAGAGGGGTCAGCAGAGGGGTCCCATGTGCAGTAGATGGGCCACAGGGACAGCAGAAATGGGATAGGGGCAGTATGGTGGGGCAGGGGCTCTATAGTGGGGACAGGGGCAGTATGGTGGGGCAGGGGCTGTATAGTATGGACAGGGGCAATATGGTGGGGGTACGGGGCTGTATGGTGTGGCAGGGGCAATTGACGGGGACAAAGGCAGTGTGGTGTAGGCAGGTATGCGGAAAGAGGGACAGTGGCAGCAGAAAGGGGGGCAGGGGCTGCAGAAGGAGAACAGGGGCTGTAGAAGTGGTGACCAGGGGTTTATGGTGGGGGGCAGGGCAGTATGGATGAGGCAGAGGCTGTAGAGTGGGGGACAGGGGCAGAATAGTGTAACAGGGGCTGTAGAGGGGGGACAGGAGTAGTAGGGAAGGGCAGGTGTAGTAGTTTGGGGCAGGGGCTGTAGAAGGGCGACAGAGGCAGTATGGTGGGGCTGGGACTGACAGGGACTATTGAGGGGGACAGGATCAGTATGGTGGGGCAGGGGCTTTAGAGACAAGCTACATAAAACTTTTTTTAATTAAAAGGTGTTCCGCCTCTGCCACCTTATGGCAGCCTTGTGTTTAGTTTCCTAGTACTACAATTTTGCTTCCAGACATTTTTGCTTTTGGATTTGTAATTTGTTACTGTGGGTGGTTTTTGTAATGGAAAAGGCTTCTTATTAATGTTTTGTGGTCACACCACACAGTTAAAGTACAAGTCCAACTCAGGAAGGACTAAAGAGTTTACAGCTTTGTCTCTTAGAATTAGCCTCCATGTACCAATTCTCTAAAATCTATGTTGTTCAGAAAGCATTATTGAGAATAGCACATGACTGGACCAATGAAACCACTCAAATAGACATATCCCTTCAAGTGAGCATGTGATAAAGAAGCCATCTATAATGGAGTTTGACTCATACACACTGGAGTCAAAGAAGAAAACTCTCACTGAAGGGCACATTGATTTCCAAGTGTCTGACAATTTAAGTGCTAAGATAACATCAAACATTTTGGAACATCTGTGATAATATTTTAACATAGGAAGAATTCAATGGGTGGGCATTAGTGTGAATATGTTTTCTCCAGCCAAAATTAGCCTCAATTGTCCTTGCTGTTTGTTCTGACAATGTGAAGTGTTCATGCATTAAAAGGAGCTGTTCCAAAATACAGAAATCTAAATTTGCTATAGAATATCATGTATTAGTAATGCCCTCAAACAATATCAGATAGCAGCCGTGGATTATCATTTTTTTAGTAAAAGACACATCTACTAATTAAAATGGAACCCACAACTCTTCCTAGCATGACATTAGTGATACATTTATAGGAATATTGGACCTAGAATAATAAAATTTAGTTTCCCAAAGATAACCGATATTCTCGTCTGTTAAACCTCTTTGAGTTTGATTATTAAGGGCCTTAACATTGTGATGAATAGGGTACACGGGATACTGAAACCAATCACTATATTCATGTTTTTCTCAAAACAAAAGAACAACTAAAGTGTTAAAGCGTGTTCACAAAAAATGAAGATACTTTTACACACTTACCACAGCCCCTTACATTGCTTACCGTGAGATATATGTTATGCATCAACTATTTGAACAATGTGATGCATTTTTTGGCAAAATAGATCATGTACTGATGTGAGTGTCTGCTAACATATCAACTTCTTCTTATATCTACCTCACTAAAAATTCATAATTAGGTGACAAAGCAACATGAGTTCATTTTACAAAGTAATTGTATTGCACTATACATTATAAACTATTTTTTTAATAAAATGAATTTGGCAACATTTTGGTGTTATCATATCATTTCACATTGAACATTTATGCTCATCCTGGGGTTGTAATGACCCAATGACTTGCAACCCAATTCGGAATCTAAAAGAGGGACAGAGTATGCAAGTCAACATTGTGGTCTATCAGGCTAACTTGACCTTATTTACCAACATTTTTATTTATTTTCAACATCATTTAACACATTATAAATAACTTGCCTACGTCTGAACATTGTTCTATCTGCCTAAAATAGACATACTGGATCTTTCCATTCTTATACTGCACCATACTCTGCAAATATAATGTTTTCTAGAAGGTTTCATTGTCACTCCTATGCTGATTTTCCAATGTGCAGAATTTTTAAAGTGAACTTTCTCACCTACAATGAATTGAATGGCAAGGTCCAAATTCAATCACAAATACATTGCATTAGAATATACAGGAGGCTCAAAGTGTGTTTCTGATAGTATATTAAAATGTCTACTCTTTATCCCTTATTGAAATGGTGCTCTTTAGAAATAATTTCTTACTCAACTTGGTAATTTTTGCAGATTCTGTGATTTGCCTTGTGATGTCTTGTAATTATTTGGCTTAACAACTTA